GTCTGTGTGTGTGCTGGGCCATCAGGCGTGTGCAGGATCCGCAGAGGGTTTATCAGGAGAAGCTCCCGGACCACATGGATGATGGTTAGTCACAGCCGCCCCCGTGTCTCCCTCTGTCTGTGGCCCCCCCATCCCTGGTCCCTGCTGGGCTTCCCCCCCGCCCCGGTCTGTCCCTGTGGTGGGTGAACTCAGCCCCCTGGTCCCCAAACCCGCTGCCCCACAACCCCTGGGAGTGAGGGATCCCTGACTGCTACCCCCCCAACCCCCCCGGGAGAGCTGCTCCCATCAGCAACGAGACTTCCCAGTGCACCCCATGTGGGACCCCACACCCCCGGGGGACCCTGGCACCCCAAAACACCCTCCCCGATGAATATGGGACAAAAAGACGCCCAAAAGGTGCTGTAACCTCATCGGGGGTCCCTGGCGGGGAGGGAAATCACCTGTCGTAAGGTAAATCTTGATGGGGAACTTTAATTTTAGCAGGTATGAAGCACCAGGACCCAGGGATGTACAAAGGATCTGCGTATTCTGGCTACCCTTTCCTAATGCTGTCAGATCCTTATCTGCCAAATGGATCTATGTCACCTCTGGTGAGTTCATCCTCTCCTTACGGAGAAGTTTCGTGGCCTTTCTCACTGCTGAAGTATCGTGCAGGCACCTACATGTGATATTTTTTTTTTTTTTTTTTTTTTCCCCTGGCAAACGGCAGCCCTGTTTCTAAAATGCCCGGGCACTGTTCTGTCCAAGCTGAAGAGATAAGGAGTGGGAAGGGGGAAGGATGCCTGGCAGCAAGCGCCTGCTTCGCTCCAAATTTGCTGGAGGAGCTTCTCTTCCAACCTCCCCATCCTTTAAGTTCGCCTTTACACTTCCAGCAATCAAATCCTAATACCTAATGCAAGAATGCCCCTTCCTTTTTCTGGGTCATGAACGTTGGAGACGAGCAGCTTCTGGTGTTTGTGCTCAGGGATTTGTCCCGCAGCTTAACTTTAGTTCGACGTATTTGCTTGTAAAACAGCCAGGTTTTGGCCTGCTCTGGGTTAGGGCTCTGTTGTGGATGATGGTCCAGAAAGTGGATCTTGTGCTGCTAAAATGGCAATAGAGGTTTTTAGGAAAAGGCTTAGTGCTTCTGGAGGACTATTCCAGTCATCCTCTGTAAAGTTTTTCCCTCTCGGGTCAAATCAGCTTTAGTAATTTTGTATATTCTAATGTTGATAGGTTTTGCTATCTGAATAATTAAACTAAGGGCTTCTCTACAAAAAAATCACTATCTCTATGAGAACTTCAGAAAATAATGTCAGGATATTGCAGTGGATGGTCAGTGCTCATGTGGCTCCTGGGTAGCTGGCATTGCTACATTCATTTCGGATGTTATTCTGCATTTACAGTCAGTAAATGAGAACAGAACATCATTTGGTTTATTTCAGTTTTAGTTTTTACCCTGTGAAGGGATAAGGTTTAAAAGAATATATAATGCCCCCCTTAATTTCAACCCTTTGTTCCCTAGAGGGGTTGGATGTTAAACTGATGTGAAGAAAAATGGATGGATTGTGGGGTATGAAACTCAGGTTAAAATGTGATGAAATATTGTTCACTGGAGTCACCGCTGCGTCCTCCCACCCAACCCTGCTGGCCTGTGTGGTGGGACACGGGTCCCTCCCTGAGCCTGCCCGTACCCCAGCACAGCCCTTCTTGGGGACCTGATTTCCTGGCTGCAGACACTGCTGAAGCTGGTGTGCAGATATTGAGGACCTGTCCCTAAATTTTGAAGTCTTCCTTCAGCAAGAAAAGATGGGTTTGCAAGGCAGGGCCAATGTACATTGTTGTAATCCAAATCAGTGTTTCTTCTGGTGCTTCCTACCTTGTGTCCCTTTGTCCAGGTATCGTGTATCCCCCTCACTCCCTAAATTATTAAGCAGCTCTCTTCCTGATAAATGATGATATTTAATCTGTCTTATTTAAACGTGTTTAGTTTGCTGCCTGGTGTAGAATCTGAGTAAATTCACAGTTACATTAGCTCAGCAATTATTTGAATAGAATATTTCTTTTAATCTTAAACCCTTACTAGATGGGCAACAAAGTGCAACAGCCTATTTATTAGCAATTAAGCTAAAAAGTAGATTGTGGTTTGTGAATCGCCTTTCCCCTTGATAAAGTAATAAAACCCTGAGAAGTTACTGTCAGAGCAACAGACAGGAGTAAATGGACTGTGCAGAACTCAAAGGGGAGAAAACTGTGTAGCAGAGAAGGAAAGATCCTGTCCCCTTGAGAGCCACAGAAATCATCCACTGCCTCAGCCAGCTTTACTTAGGCCTGTCTGGATCCTGTGCTGCTTTATGTTGTGTGACTTGAAAAGCTGATTTCATGTTTTCAGATAAAAATTAGTTAGCTAACAGACACAGGAAGATTTTTTCCTTGACTTGTTTTTTTCGACTCGGTACAACAGCTATTCTGACGCATCTTTCTGGGCTGTTTTGTCTTGTATTTATATTGACTGCGCAAAGGTGATCGTAGTAAATTTCGTATTGCTCTGCTATAGATTTATTGCTACTGTGTATATTATACAAAGTCTGGGCTATAATCTGGTGGCTGCTTCCAATAATTGAGGAGGTCAGATCTGTGACCGAAGATTGCAGATACTTAACCATCCATAAAAGTGTGTTTAATTAACACTTTAGCAGAAGCGGAGTCGGGGAGGAGGGTTGTGTGAGTGAATGGGATTACATATCACAGTCATGCGTGCATTGATAGTGGAGATTGTGTTTTGGCTAATGGGGCTTCCTGGAAACGCTTGTTTGCAGCTAAGATGAATTTCAGAATCCTCAGAGAATAAAAATTAAAAAATTAACCCAGGAGTACTTTGGCAAACTGTCAGGGCTTTACATTTACCTGATTGAAAAAATATAATACAACTCCCTGAAAGACGAAGGGCAGCCAGCGCTGAGGCTGCAGGTTGAACCCCCACCCTGCGACGCACCAAAAAAAAACTTTTTTTTTTTTTTTTTTTTTTTTCTCCCTCCGAACCCTGGCAGGGTGCTGCGAGCGGCGCTGGAGCTGGCCCGGAGCGCCTGCCTGGGTGGGTGTGTCGCTACTGGCATTACCGACGTGCTGCTTTCCTTTTTTTTCTTATTTTCTCAGCAGCATCACTTTTGCTTTGTTTTCCTCAAAGTGGTTGTAGCCCGCTAACTGTTACACTGCTCACCCCAGCATCCTGCTAGGCTGCCCTTGTCTCCCCAACCAAAGTCATCTCTTTTTACCAAAACACACCCACTTGTGTTATTTACATGCTCTGATGTTGCTCCGGAGCGATGCGCTGAAGGTGTCTGAGGGGACCTGCCGTCAGGAGCGCTGCCAAGCCCAGCTGATGGCCCCAGCAAGCAGCAGGATGTGGCAAGAGCCCCGCTGCAGCAGCAGAGCCCGGGTGTTGGGCTCAGTGGCCCACCTTCGCTGCAGGTGGCCAACGCTGGGTTAGGGTGGTTCAGCCGGAGAGGTGCTGGTTTGAGCGTGCACAGGTAGCCTGGGCTGGCAGCAGAGCGATCAGAGAGAGAGAAAGGAGGGCTGGGGGGTGGCCAGGGCATGTGGGGAAGGTGCTCCTGGAGCTGGGGGCAAGGCAGCCCCAGCGTCCCATGTTTTGGGAGCGTGCTCTGAGCCCCCATCAATGGGCCGGGCTGCGGAGGGCACGCTCATGGTCAGGCATGTTAAGGGCATCTCCACGCAGACTGTGCCTGCATCTGAAGTCTCAAAATCTTGCAAAGCCCCAGGAGAATCGTTTCTCACCCGGCTCTCGGGTGTCGCACACATGGTGGTTCAGGTCTGCTTTGACTCTTGATAGGCCCCGCTTCTCCCAGAGTGGAATATATGGGATTCACCAGTTAAAAATCTGCAAGAAACTTCCACAGAATATTAACAGGTTGAGGAACTGTTTTTCTAAATGAAATATAAAATCATAAAACTGTATCCTTTTTTTAAATAGTACAAATGACTTTAAATCAAATTAAGGTACATCCTTAGTAAGAACATCAGCCTTTTAGGTGGTTACAAACATTAGAGGTCAGACATGGTCAAACATGTTAACACTTTGATCAGATTAAAATATTTTTCTTGCTACAGTTGTATAATTGAGTTTAGACCCGAGGGGGTTTTCTGAACATTGTTATATCTTGTACCATGTGCTAGTTAAATGGTAGAAAGAGCACTTATAAGTTTCTTTAAGTTCCTTTTGGAAATAGGTTTATAAAATAGGGGAATGAGCCGTGCTGCGCCGTAGGTAGGGTACAAGCTCTGCCCACTGCAGTTGGTGGGAGAGCTCCCGGGAGAGCTCTTCACACCTTCTGTGCACCTCTAGTGTGGGTTGTGAGCGTGAGGTGTGTGATGGCAGAATTAAAACGTTCTGTACATAAAGCTGAAGGACTGGACTTTCTGTCTGTGTGAGAAACAGAGGTCCAAGAGCCTCTGTTTCTTTGGAAAACAGACAGTACCTCATTTTCTTAATTATTAAGTTGTCTAACCAGTGCTCACGTAGGAGCAGAAGGGTGGTGGTGCCTTCCCCAGCTCTGCACACTTCAAGTCCCCAGATGAGGTGGCAGGCCCAGGAACCAGTGCTGATGTTCAGAGCCTGCTCCCTTCGGTCTGCGGGGCTCCTTCGGCTTGGTTCCCGTTGAGTGGGTTTGAAACATCCCCTTGGGCAGGGCAAGGTGAAAGTGCAGTTACTGCTGGCCTGGGGCCACAGGTCCCAAACGTCTAACAGGAGGTCAGAAAGCATGGAGCTGAAAGTCTCCCGCTGCCCTTTGCAGGACAGAAGCTCAAGCAGCAGCAGCTGAGCCCTGGGACACGGCCACTTCTGCTGCAGCCCCCTGTGCCCGCGGCTGCTCCGGCCCTTTGCGGGAGGAGGCTGTTGTCCCCGCAGCAGTTGGCAGAAGGAAATCTGCAGCTCAGCTGCTTCTGTGTCGAGGTCTTTCTGTCCTAGCTTGCACTGTCAGGGCAATAGTTTAGTATTGCTTTTTCCTGTGTCGAGTTCTGATCCTGTTGAAACCAGCAGGAAAACTCCCCGGAGTCGCCCTGTGATGGGGATGTGTCGCTGCGAGAAGGCTGCTGCATCCTTCTCCAGATGTTATGCGGGGAGGGAGGGCAGCTGCAAGCAAACAGTAATTCTGCAGCAGCGCTGGCTGCTGTGGGAAAGCAGCAACATCTCCAGCAGCATCCCAGCCAGGTTTCCTGGCAGCTACGGGACCTCCCTGGGACGGTGCTCCGTCGCCGTGAATTGTTGTATTCCCAGCAGAAAGCGTTAGGAGTGCGGTGGCTGTTGATGGATGCCCTGGCAGACAGACAGATGAGTAATTTGTTCCCTCCTGACCAGAGCAAATCCACTTCTTCCAGCTCTTCTACCTAGCTTGAAATAGGATAATGGTGAAAATAATTTTTTTTATTAGAGCATAATGTTGGATAGGTAGATGTACCAAGGCACAGGGCTTCCGAGGTCATTTATTGCATGTCTGATTCAGCCTTGGTTCCCCCCCAAGGAAAATTCTTGTGTTAATTTCTGAGTTCATATCACACCCTCAATTTTGAAGCAGAACTTCCCTTTGAAATAAAT